TTACGTGAATTTTTTGTGAGAGAAAATACTGTAGCGAATCATAAATCATGATTCGAATCAGGGAACGAATCCCTCTACCAAACAGAGGTCGGCATCTTATGGTAATACTCAAGTTATTAATTATCTTCTGGGATTTAAGATTGGATCGATTTGAAAATTGAGAAGAAGCTATTGTGTGGAAGCATGACAGATTCAGATTCAATTTTAAAAAAAGATATATAAGGATAAGAAGGTTGAAATCTTGGAGATAAAGCGTGGTAAGACTTTTTTACTGTGTTCTTTAGGAGAAGAAATTGACGTTCTTCTAGAGACAAATTTGTCGTCTTCAAGAGAAAGACGATCTACAATGTTGAAGGGAGGTCAACCAATCATTGTTTTTCAGAAGAAGTACTTAGAGTTTTGGAAGAGAGCGATCTACTAAGTGAAAGAATTTCATCATGCAGAGTTTGAAGACGAGTGATGCTTGCTGAAGAGATCCAGCTAATTGTTACAAGACCTGTGCGGCAATTATGAGACGGAGTATTTAGATTGTATAAGTCTATTAGTGATTGTAATCGAAATTAATTAGTGCATTGTTTAATGTCTCAGCGTGATACTGTGAATGTAAATTTTTACAGAATCACGTAAACATTCTCTGAGTTCATTCTCTAATTTTTACTTCGGTAATTTAATTAATTTGATATTAACTATATCCGGTAAATTGGCAAGTAAAAGTATGATTCGAAACTTGTCTTCGTTGTTCTTCTAGTTATTAATAACAATGACGAACAAGCATATTGATCAAGGTTCATCTAGACACGTACCCTCCTGACGCATACAGAAGCTATGGATATAATATTTAAAGTTTCACTAATTTTGCCTAGAAAGAAACTTTTAAAAAGGAACTGGCCACATTATCATAGTTCCTTTCAACCTAATGAAGCTTTCTTTTCTTTCCTTTTCTTATAATTAAATTATTAGTCGGTTGCTTTCTTTTACATTCCTGGTATCAGCACCAATGAGAAAGGACCAACAATCTTTATTAATTAATGGAAAAAATTACGAAGACAACATTTTAATCAGTACTTTTGTAGCAGCTAAACAATTTGCTGGTAGCCTGCACATATCGGATATTCTCTCTCTCTCGCTCTCTCCCTTTCTTTCCCCAATTTAACGGGATATTTATTCTTTTTTTAATTATTTATTCTTCTTTTTTTTTATTTTTTATAACAGATAAGAAAATTGGTGGACACATTAATTAATGGCCAATAACGATGGTTTGGTTTCATACTTTGACCTCTGTTTTTTTCTCTTTTGGTAAGTGTGATTAGCAACTCATGTCCATTTTCATTTGTGTGGAAAGCAGCCAACATACTCCTTAAACGGAATGCGACAAAATAGTTGCCTTTTATTTAATTTGCAAAACAAACAGTAAATTTATTGCTACTTAGAAAGTACAAAAACTAAACGAGTTTCTCTCAACAATCCAACAACAGTAAATCAATCATAAAATTAAATGAGATCGAATGGTGCACAGCACATAACCATTCTATTTATTACATAACACAAAAGATCCTAGATTCATGGCTGTTTTAATTGTCGTTTCTCTAGCTAGTTGTTGTCATACCAGAACTGCTTCTGAAGATATTTAACAACATTCTTGTCCAGTTGGAAGGCCCTGGTTAGGACATCAGCTTTGATGGAAGGATTCGATCCGAACACTGAGTTTGCAATTGTAATAACTCCTGCGTTTTGGCTGCTGAGACCAGCAAAGGCCACTGCTGGCTTATGTTCCGGGTTGAACTGGAAGTGAATCAAGCCAATAGGAAACACAAACACATCTCCCTTGTTTAGAACCTTGGTGAATAGGCGGTTTCCGTCTTGGTTAGACGACACGAAACCGACGTGGAGTGTCCCCTCCACGACGACAAGGATTTCGGAGCCGCGAGGGTGAATGTGAGGCGGGTTTTCTCCGTATGGTGCATAGTCAATGCGAACCAATGAAATCCCAAGAGTGTTAAGTCCTCGAATTTTGTCCACGTTTACAGTAGTTACGGCGGAACCAACTGGGTTACTAGTGTTTCCAGCAATGTTGAGCCCAGAAGTGAAGAAGTCCTTAGCCTTGACATGCTTTGGATCCTTGCAGAATTTCCCATTCACAAAGACTGCTCAAAAGGAAATAAATTTTCGTTAGTATCAATTTGCCATACCACTGTAAAACATGGTGAAAAATTATTGAGGAATAAAAATTGGTAACAGTGAGGGAATTAATGGGGGAAAAAAAATGTAGACTTACAAGCCTTGTTGGGATCGTCTGTTGCTACGCAAAAGTCTTGCAGAGGGCTTGGATCATAAGCAGAGGCAATGGAGGTTGCCAAAGCCAAAACAGCTGCTATGAGAAGGAAATGAACACCTTTCATGGTTGCTATATATATATTTATTTGTTTGCACTGCTCTAGATCTATTTATAGATGGGAGTGTCTGAAGTAGTCTATCTTACTTCATGAAGTGGATAAAAGACTTGGTTTGTGTTTTCTAATTCAGAAAAGACTTGGTAGATTTTGACTCAGTAGCTATCATGTTATTAATGTATCAAGTGCTCAAATACTCATACAGATAAATTATTTTAGTTCCCACTAGTTTTTCCTCTGGAAGGAAATTTTCAAATTGGAACTAGTCTTTTTTTTTCTTTTTTTTTTTTAATATCTATCTTACAGTGTCTTTATTTCCTTTCACGTCTTTTTGATCTATTCGTCTTTTTCCCACATTATTGTTGTCGTATTGTATCTTCTGTCGCTTGAAGTTGTTGTTTTCCATTCTTTTTTTTTTCCTATCGTTTTTAATTATAATTTTATTGTTCATATTTTTTTCGTTTCACAAATGATGCCGCTTTTTATGTTGTTGTCATTTGACTCATTTCTTATGTTGATGTCGTTTTACAATCATTTTTGTTTTTTTATTATTATTTTGATTTCATGTCGTGGATACGGGTCCGTTTTCATGTATTGGCTTTTTCTCAGAATGACGCGTTCTTTGAAACTTGATGTGCTTACTTTAGATAGTTTCGTTTTCAGTTATGTGTCGTTTAGTTTATTTTGCTTTTCTAGCTTTTGTTGTTTCAATTTTATTGTTGCTTTCATGTTGTCTTATATATATAATTGTCGTTTTATTTTTTGCTGTTGATGTTTTTTTATAAAAGTGTGTTGTTTTCATGATGTCATTTTCGAGTTGTCGCTAACTTAAACAAAGCAGTTTTTAGTGTTGTCGTTGCTTACTGTGTTGTCATTTTCCAGGGTGTTTGGTATGAGGATTCATGCCATGGTTTGAATAATGATTCGTGGTTCGCTACAGTATTTTTTTCTCGCAAAAAACACACATAAACCGATAATAGTTCTGAATCATGATTCTGAATCCGTGAACCAAACGTCATGTTTTTTACGCCTTTGAATTATCAATATTTTAGTTATTGAGTTGTGTCGCTTACTGAAATGATTCCTTTTTGTATTGTTGTTGTTTCTTCGGGTGATTTCATTTACTTGTGTATGCTGTTTTTTAGGTTGATATTGTTTAACTCTTGTATTATTTACTTAGATGGCTTTATATGTTATTGTCTTTTTCCTAAATGATATCATTTTATTTTGTTGTCGTTTTCTTGTAGACGCGTTTCCCCTAATGGAGTCTTTTTTCTATTGCTGTGTCTTGTTGATGTTGTTATTTATCGTCGTTCTAGTGCCGTTTTGTCAGATTTCTATGTTTATTTTTTGGTATATACAAATACAGGATTAAACTCGTGTTCTCTCAAACCCAAGTTCCACCGCACCCTATCTCATCCCTATTGACCTGGTGGTCGTAGGCATATTTCTATCTATGATTCTATTCTTGAAACAAATGACGTAACCACTCCGTCGTTTATAATCTGTTGTCATTTTGACGCCTTCTTTAAAAAGCATTGGACTGTGAACTATTCGCACGCACACAAAACGACACCCTAGGATGACATGTTTACTTAGTTGAGGAAGTGGTAAAATTAAGAAAACTCTCTAGGTAAATAGTTTTCAGCGCTTCCACATTAACGCTAAGAAAGTCAAGCATCACATAAAAAGTCTCGAGTGGCATAATTGCTTTTGCGAAAAACAATCCTGAAGCCTCTATTCAAATAATTAAAGCAACGGTCTTATAAGTTATATCAAATATTGTTTAAAAGTTTGAACATCAAAATAAAAATTGAAAATATTTTTCAAAATGGAACATCTTACATCGTGATAATCTCCTGTTGTTAGAACTTTTAATTGATAGTTCCTACCTTGGAACTTAACTCTTTTGACGAAGGATTCATCTCCTTTTTTATTAACTTGATCAGTTCTAACAAACGAGAGAGGTACTCATTGAACTTGAAAAAAAAAAAATGGTTGCAAATATACAATTAGCATTTGTATTTGCATTTGAGATGGTCTTACTAGGATAACTTCTTTTGCAGCTATACTTTTTTATTTTTTATTTTTATTTTTATTTTTTTGCAAGAAGAAAAAGAGAAAAACAATTAAAAAAAAAAGTTTTCTAAGAATGCAAAAGAAGAAATTGGAAGCATTACCGGCATAGCCTGTAATTCAACATCAAATTAACTTTATAATTCTAAATCTGAATCTACCATAGATATAGAGTCTAAATCCCCGACCCAAGATTAAAAAAGAAAAATTGGACGAGGCAACGAGTCAGTGAGAAGTAATTGAACATATATCAAGAGGGCAAAGGAAAATTCTTTAAATGCAGATAAATAAACAAAAGCACACCAGCCTTCTTTACGTTAGAATAAAACGGCAGTGCTAATAAAGAATATTAAACGAAGTAGGAGAGACAGATTTTATGGCATAAATTTGTGATCAAATGGTTATATCATACTAATTGTTTCAAGTGTTTTCATCAAGTGGTCTCGGTTTTTTTCTCTTTTCGATATATGTGAGATTGCTATATTCCACGACCATTTTATTCCATTTTCCTTAAAAGAGACTTCAAGAGTTTCTAAAGTAAAGCTTTATTGAATTTGTAAAACACACGTAAATCTATAGGTACAGTACAAAGTACGGAGACAATGCTCTCAGCAACTCAGTCATAATAAACTGAAATGAGAGAATGGCGCATAGACACATGACCATTCTATTTATTACATAACACATAACATATTCTAGTAATTTTATTATATGGTTGTTTCTTGGTCTCCCTAATTGGCTACCCAGAATTTCTTCTGAAGCTCCTCAACTATTTTCTGGTCAAGTTGGAAGGCCTTGGCTAGGATCTCAGGGTTGATGGCAGGATTAGATCCAAACACTGCGTTTGCAATTGTTATGGTCCCTGGATTTTGGCTGCCGAGACCCGCGAAGGCAACTGCTGGGACCTTTCCTGGATTGAACTGGAAGTGAATCAAACCAATTGGAAAGACAAACACATCTCCCTTGTTTAGAACCTTTGTGAACAGGCGGTTCCCGTCTTGGCCGTTTGACGTCACAAAACCGACACTGAGTTGTCCCTCCACGACAACGAGGATTTCGGTGGCACGAGGGTGAGTGTGAGGCGGGTTTTCGCCATATGGTGCAAAGTCAATGCGAACCAATGATACCCCAAGAGTGTTGAGGCCAGGAATTTTGTCCACATTAACATTAGTGACATTGGACCCAACTTTATGGGTAGTATCCCCAGCAATGTTAAGCCCAGAAAAGAAGAAATCCTCAGCCTTGGCATACTTTGGATCCTTGCAGAATTTCCCATTCACAAACACTGCTCAAAAGGAAATTTTTGTTAGTTTCTATTTACTGTCAACATTTATAAGATAGAGAACATAGTTTATTAAAAGGTGGTAAAAAAAATAAGGAAACATGGTAAGGAAATTAAGGAAAACTGTGTATACTTACAAGCCTTGTTAGGGTCATCTATTGCTACACAGAAGTCCTGCAGAGGGCCTGGGTCATAGGCAGAGGCAATGAAAGTTGCCAAACCCAAGACAGAAAGTGTTAAAAGGATGTTAACACCTTTCATTATGTTTGATATTTTAGTATATATGTTATAGATCTCTATGAGTACTTCTGCTAATGTTACTTGAGTGATTATGGTTGGGGAATATTGCTTAGATATTGTGATCTATTTATAGATGGAAGTCTCTGAACTAGTCTATCCTGTTGCGTGAATTGGATAAAGGACTTGGATTGTTTTTTCTCCTCAAACGACTTGGTATTCAACTACTCATAGATTAATAATTTATGTTTCACTAGTTTTGCCTCTAGAAGAGAACTTTCAACATAGAAGTGTTCAGTTTGAGTTATCTTACAGTGTAAATCCTTATTGTCTAGCTTTTCTTATCCTCTTTAATTTACTTATTGTTAAGTGTATAATTTGTGGCTTTAAATTAGAACCTTCATTTTTAATTAGCTAGCATCTGAGTTCTAGGAAGGTGTTTGAATTGGAAGGGTATGCCTTTAATAATGGCCTGAAAATTTAGCTCATGTAGATATATATACTCTTGAAGCTAAAATTCCTTATTGGTTAAGTTTATTCGGAATTCCGATATATATATATATAT